TGTACTCTGAGGGTGGCAGAGCACTGGCACAGGCTGCCCAGAGAGGTTGTGGAGTCTCCTTCTCTGGAGATATTCAAAACCCTCCTGGATGTGACCCTGTGCAACTGCTGTAGGTGACCCTGCTTTGGCAGGGGGGTTGGACTGGGGGATCTCCAGAGGTCCCTTCCAACCCTGACCATTCTGTGAGTTTGTGAGTCCTATACCAGCACTGGAAGAATAATAATTGTGGGGGAGTAAAATGGAAAGTTATCTGACAGAACTCAGTGTCCCTTTTCAATGTATTTTCAGATATCCACTCGGATAAATTATAAGCATTCAGAAAACTGACAGTTTGAACATGTGCAGTAGACATTTCCTAAAGCTTTGAAAACATCTTCCACGAAGCTTCTTTCATGAAGCACACACATGCTACACAATGGTTCTCAGCTACATTTTTTAATGCATTTGCAGTGCTACTTTGGGCAAACATGTAAAGTGAAAGTAAAATGGACAACTTTCATCTTATTAGGGTTGGTCCACAAAGGCATACTATAGAAACAGTTTCAAGAGGAAAGATCAATGTGAGGAATCTACATTTTCTCAACCATGAACTGCCTTTTTGATCAACTGTTTAGACTGCACTATTTCAAGTTTTGCTTTTGAAATGGCTTCTCTTTGTAAAATTTGTTGTTATTTGAGTTATTCATTATAATACATTTAAGAAATCAAAATTGAAATGCTGTTTAGCTTTTCAAAACAAAATATTTCAATCCATCATACAGTTATTAAAACTTTATATGGGAATTTAAATGTCAAACAAGGCAAACTTAAAAATCTGGAAGTCTTTACAGAATAGAATTTTAAAATTCTGCATGTCTCTGTTTAGAGTGTTTGGTGCTACAATTTTAATAACATTCTTTTAACTTTTTTGTTTTGAAATTTGTTTTTATATGTTATTTGGTGAATTTCATTCAACTGACAGATATTTAACTTTTCAGAAATAAGTAGTATGTAACCTTTATTTATTCACTATTACAAATATTAATTTGTAGTTTACTTACAGCTATCACTAATGTATAGAATCAATTGTTTTGTTTTTGTTTTTGGTTTTTTTTTTTAATTTGACATAGAGGTTTCCTGTGTTTTTCTCCACAGATTCTGTGAATCATGGTCATGATAAAATGATGCATACTGTTCAGCCTTTTGGAAGATAAGATATCATACCTATATTGTGTATTATGGCCTTACCATAACATGATAACATAGTACAATCTGTTGTAATTACAATCTGCAATACTGTTACAGTAGTATTACACTCTTATCTGTCCAAAAAGGCTTGATCAGTTAGCATCAGCCACATAATTCAGCCTCAGAGATGCTGACCCAGTAAAGCTCACTTTCCTGTATTCTATATATTTGAGTCATTGCCATGGTTTTTGCCTAAAGCAAAAAAAAAAGGGCTTAAATTCCTTGAGAGATAGATACTCCAGAGAGAAATAATATAAGTAATTAAATTAAGGGAGAGTTGTTGCCAGTTAAATGAATTCACACTCTAATTACTTATCACACCTTAACAATGAATGGACTGAAGGAGGTACAAAAACTTTTACTGGTAGTCAGGTTAGTACTGTACCTCACAAGACAAACCAGAATAACCCAATGGGCAGTCACATTTCTCAATCGCGTAAGCCTGAGGAGTCATCCGAGATACAGTGCCACCTTCAGCAACTTCCAATGAGATCTCAGAAATCCTGAAAAAAAGGAGCAAACATCTCTAATGAGATTGGTCAAGTACTAACTCAAACCCAGTTAGTTCATAGTCAGCTGGCATGGGAGAAAACGGTCTTATTTGGCTGTCTGTAGGCTTCTTGATCTACAGGAGACAAACAGCACTATTTTTGTCTCTCCTAAGGAAACAACAAAGCTACCACCACCTCCAGTCTCATTTTTCATTTTTAGGCAATAGTATAACTAACTTTTCTCTCCTGCTTGATTCTATCTCTTTTTTAAATCTCTTCTCAGCCAAACTATTAACAAAAGCTCATATCTGATTCTTCATTTGGAGGGACTCATTAAGAAACTGAAGTCACATAATAAATGTAGTTCAAATTCATGACTCTCAGAGGTATGGCAATAAAATTGTTCACTAAATGAGCTTTTAATGAGGCAACTATTTAAAAAAATAAAATAAAATCCATCCTTAGCAACTAAAGCAACCTAACAAGCTCTAAAGCAGACTTCAAAGACATTGGACATTTGCCTTTTTAGCAGGAATTTTAAGATCTGTAGCCAGATATCCCTTTTTTTTTTTTTTTTTTTTTTTCCTTAGGATCATTTAGACACATAGACAAACAATTTAAAGGAAACAAGAAATCCTACTATAGAAGCATCTGCTAGTATCTGAAAGGGATATGTTTCATGGTAGAGCTTCTGACATTTTAACTTTCCAAACATTTGTTTGATCGTGTTAATAATATCCTTGCCTCCCAACCATTCCTTGTCTTTTCAGCATGCATGCTGACCTGCCAAACAGGGTTAAGTACATCGCAGACAAAGACAATAAACATAATATCTAGCGAAATACACTTAATCCTAATGTACCACAATGCTGTTCTTTTAGTTTACTTCTTTTGGGGTTTTATTAGCTTGTTTAAATGAATGCTATGATCTGGAACCCCTTACTGTCTGAGAAACAAAAAGGGCAGAACAGTGTCAATTTTAAAGCTTCAAACATAATGCCTACCTAAGAGAAAATGTAGAAGAATGTGTGACTAACTAGCTAAATAAACATCAACAATGCTGCTAGAGCCTATCCATTAAGTGCCTGTGCATAGGCCTGACGCAGAGGACCTCACAGAACTGCTCGTCTCCTCCTCGTGCTCACAGTCCCTTCACTTACTCCCAAGTCTTGATCACTGAGCGACG